AGATAGATAGATAGATAGATAGATAGATAGATAGATAGATAGATAGAGCTCCTGTGTGTGGTTGAATGATGACTGAAAGACATCTTCTGCCTCTATTTATCGGTTTACTACAGTCTGTTTAACCCTTTAAAGCCTGATCCAAGAATAATAGGAAGAATATTGGACTTTTTTTAGTCTGAAGTCTTTCTTTGGCCCCTCAACAACATATGAAGACGTTTTTATTTTTTTATTTTATTTTAATCAAATTAGCATGCAACAGGTCAAAAATATATGTTGGTGTAGTGTTCTACCTGCTGTTATCAGGTATATCTGAATGTGTACAACAGGGGTTTGAGCAAAGCTTTTACCACTGAATGATGCAAAAAGTCTCAGATCCAAAAGACTTCAGAAACCGTATGAATCAGATATGATACATTTGGCATTATAGGGTTAAAAACATTTCCATTTGTGGTAAAAATCGAACTTGGGGGAAATATAAAATAAAAAAGTCTAATCAACCAAAACTTTGGCGACCCCCATGCCGTACCTCCAGGACCCCCTAGGGGTTGCGGACCCCCTGTTGAAGACCTCCGACTTTAATGATAAAATCAATATTTAAAAATCTGTGATGTGAATCAGGTGTGTTGAATCAGGGAAACCTCTAAAACCTGAAAGGTTAGCAGCCCTCGAGGACTGGAGTTTGAGACCCCTGCCCTAAACCCTTCTTCTTCTTCTCTTTTTTTTATGGCGTTTACCTTTAGCACAGCGGCGATAACGAAGGCGGACTGGTGCGCGACCTCGGCGTCCTCGGCGCCGCCGTCCAGCCGGTCCCGGAGCTCCCGGCAGGCTTTGGCCCCCGCCGAGCGCCGGAAGATGCCCCGGGTGTACGGCCCCTCCAGGTACAGGAACACCAGCAGGTCCTGGGGGGGGGGGGGAGTTTCGGTAACCAAGTAGAACTACTGTAAAAGGACTGTACTTAACTCATTGGCTGCCAAAGACGTCTATAGACGTCTTTTATGTTTTTCAACGAGAGTG